CCTCTTTGTAATTTTTGATTAGAAGTTTGTTGATTCTTGCGGAATCTTCCTACTTTTTTTCATTTTATTTATGTTTTTATTTCACAACTTTATGGTATTTCAAGTTCTTCGTTTTATCTCTTCTTTATGGTTCCACAAGTTCTATTTTTGTTTCGATCATTAATAATTTTAGTTAATGCTTCATATTTTCTTAATTATTCGGGAAATGACTTCAACATTTCAAGAAAACGATAATTTTCTAATTATATTTTCATTTAAAAAAATCAATGTTTTTGCATGTACCTTTAATAAGTATCGTTTAAATGCAATGAAAATTAACTTAAAAATAAGATAGAGTATTGAATAAAAGATAATTATCAAATCTATTCGAATTGCTCAAAGCGGAAGTTGAACAATTTTAATTATTCTAAGATATTGTTTAAAATTAATAAAATAAAGAAATTAAAAGAAAAAAAAAATAATAAAAAAGAATTGAATGAATTAATTAGTCTTAACCCAAGCAGCATAATCATAACCATCATCTTTTTGTGGAAGATTAGATTTAACATATTCAATTTGTTCAGCACTCATACCAGCTTTTTGCATATCAGCTTCAGTAATAATTTCTTTACCAGCAGCAATTGTAGAGAAAATTTCATTAAGTTGTTCTGGTGATGGATTTTCATCATTCTTTTCTTTCATATATTGGACATAATTATCAAATGAAACTCCATTTTCTCCTTTTGTAACATTATTATAAATAGCATCATATTGAGCATCTTCTCCTCCTGTGAAATCAATATCAATTAATCCCATAGAACTTAAGCATGATCTAAATTCAAGTTTATCAAGAACTCCATCATGATTTCCATCAAATGCATCAAAGCTTTGTTTAAATTCTTGCATTTGTTCTGCAGTAACTCCACTAGAAGCTTCATTAATTTGAGCTTCAATATAAACAATCTTCTTTTCAAACATAGAAATTGTTTGTTCATAATTAAATTGAAGATCATCAAATGATACATCAGTATATTCATTATCTTCAATATTAGCATCTTCACATGCTTTTTCTGCTTCTTCAATTGGTGGAAGTTGTCCTTCAATTTGTTTTAATTCTTCTAATTTTGCTTTTAATGTTACTACTTGTTCTTCTAATGGTGCTTCACTTGATTCATCTGTGACAAATGTTCTATATTCATTAATCTTTGCATCTGTTGCATTAGCTGGTTCTGCAAATGCTTTTCTAAGTGCAATAAGACAATTTCTCATAGCAGTATTTAATTTAGATCTTAATGCTCTTTCTGCTTCAGAAATATTAGCAATATATCCTTCAAGACTCTTTGGATCAAGTCCTTCTGGTGCAACATAAACTGGTCTTTTCATTCCTCTTAATTTTGAATTAATTTGACCAAACAATGTAGCAAGATCACCTTGTTCTTTAATAAATGCTCTTTTATCTCCTTTTCTATAATTTTTAGTTTCATTAACTTGTTCTTTGATTTGATGATATTCATCTGATGGTTCAACTCCATTCATTTTATTAATAGCAGCTTCAATATTATCTTTAAGTGCTTGTGCTCTTTGTTCATAATCATGAACCATTCCTTCTGTAGCTCTAAGGAAATCAAGGAAATTACCTGCTCTTTTACCTGCTTTTTCTACTTGATCATTTGAACTAAAAACTTTATATAAAGCAGCGACATATGTCATAACTGATCTTTCATCTGGTCTTGGCATATTAACAATATCATCAACATCAAGTAATTTTGGAATACCAAGTTCTTTTTCTGCAACATCAAATGCTTTTTCTAAATTAGCTCTATCATCTTCTCCAACTGTTTCCCAGTCTAATAAATCTGGTCTATGTCTATGAATAAGAGCACAGAAAACTTTACCATCTTTAAATGATTCTGAAAAGTTTTCTACTTTAACTGGATATGGTTCACATTTCTTTTGACACCATAATAACAATCCTTGTTTAGCACTTAATCCTTCTGCTGAAAGTTCTGAAATAGCAAATCTTAAAATAAGTGTCCAAACAAGTCCAAGTGTTAATTTAACATTTCCATCAACAATATCAGTTGGTCCAATACCTGTTAATTTAACATCCCTTGATTGAATAAATCTTAATGCTTTATCCAAATTTTCTGTCATTTGAATTCTCATTTTTGGATTAGTAACACATTTAATAGTTGTTTCTCCAATAATTTCTAAAAGTGCACATAACTCTACTCCATTCTTAAAGTCAGTAGTAACATCATTAATTTTTCTTCCTTTTTTAGCAAGATGCATATTAACCCATTTAGTAAAGGTCTTAATTTGTACTTTTTCCCATTGAGCAACTAACTCACTGTCAGCCATTTTTTTTACCTTTTTAAAGATTACTTCTTTCTCCTTTTTATTTCAAGTTCTGACTACGCAAAACTCTAATCTCATTATTCTCAAAAAAAATCTTTTTCTCCTCTTCTTTTTTTGTCTTCTTTTCTTTTCATTAGTCTTTTTTTGTTTATTTGTTATCACGTCAACAATTATATCAATAAAATATTATATTTTGAAATTTATTTGATCATTTTAGCAGTAAAAAAAAAAAGGAGAAAAGCTTCAAAGACTTTGTTTTTTATTTGGTCAAACATATTAAAACTTTCAATATTTTATTCAATAAGAATAATATTTATTAAAAAAAAAGATAATCAGGAAATTCAGTATATCAAATTATTTTATCAAAAATCCAAAATGGTTGGTCTATTTCTAGGTTTTTGTTTACTTCCTTTTCATGAGTTGTGATAATTTTTAGTGTCTTATTTATTTAACAGTCAAAATACCTTTGTGAATCTCACTACTAAAACGTTCTTTAAAAATTCAGATCAAGATGACTAACATTACTTGGTTACTCATTGTTGTGAAATGAATAAATTAAAAAGAGTGATAAGTGTTAGGTACAACAAGATGAGTAACAATTTTATTCTTAATGTTGGGGAGTTAAAAACAAGTTTTAGTTATTTGTTGTCGACTGATAATGGCTTGATATTCTTACTTTTTTAGTAAAATAACATGGACTTTTTATTTGATATAAACAACTCTGAAATAAACAATTATTTTTGAAGAGAGGAACAATTAAAAACAAAATTAAATTTCAAATTGTTATTTAATTTTATCATCTACTTTAAAAATATAATTTTAAATGCTTTTAAATGACGTTAAATGACTTTAATAAGTATTATAATTAATAAGAGAGAAATAACACAGTTTTAATTTAACTGTTTTATTATTTTTTTAAGTAAATAAGTGATATAAAGAGTACAAACAATTGTTTTATGTTTAAACCAAGTTTGAATTACTTTATTTAATAAGAAGAAAATCCAACTTATTTGAATAAGTCAATAAATTTAATATCTTTTTTTGTTGGTTTTAAAAAAATTATTAAAAGAGTTATAATACCTTGATAAAAAGAAAAAATATCAAACGAACAATTCATAAAGAAATTCCTTTTCTATAAAAACTAAAAAATAAAAGTAAAATATAATTTAATACAATAACAAACATTCTTATTCTAAAGTTATGAGAGTTTTAGAGTATTTTTCTCCAAACACCCGAAGGATAACCATAGCTCCTAGTAATTTTGTCAAACTGCCAGTATTTGATTAAGATGGTATGAGAAATGGAGTTAGTATTTTCTTAAAAAATATTAGAATTATTCTATATTTTTCTTTAGCTATTTTAGAACTATTGGTTCAGTCACAAAACAAAGTTCAAGTCGAATATAAGGGGATTTTCTTTTAGACCACTTTAAGAATAGTAGATAATAACACTGTCTTGTATTTTTCATTGTTCCTTTGATGAGTCATGGAGAAGAAACGATAAAATTTTATCCACCATTTACCTAAAAAAAAGCTAGAGAATAATTTATTTTTTTGTTTTTAAAGTTCAATAAAAGTGAATAGAGTATATAAATATAATATTGTATGAATTATTTCGCATATTGTATTAACAATTAAAATGTAAAGAAAAGTAAAAAAAGAAGTCATAGTTATTTCAAAACATTTTAATATATAACAAATTGATTGGTGTAATAATTCAGGTCCTTATACAATGTAATATGTTTATTTATTTTAATTATTAATTTTGATTTTTATATTTTCCACTTTATAAAAAGCTGAACAAAGTTAAAACAACACTTACATTAAAAGATCATTTGTTTAATTAAATTATTTAATTTATTTTTAATAAATTTTATAATGAAAGGAAAAATAATTTAAAAAAGTAAATTTGAGTAAAATATAAGTGAAGTTGGAGTATATTTAAAAGAAGAAATAATAATTAGTAACATTAAAGAAACAATTTAAATTATAGTTTAAATTTATTAATCTTAATGTTTGTTGGAGGTTTGAAAAAGTCCTGATTTAGTATCACTTGAATTTGTAGTGAGTCTGTGATAATAATTTCTTTTTACTCATACTATTTAAACACCACCAAACTAGATTTTTATCATTCAATGAACGCAATCTTATCACTCTTATTTATTTCATTTGCTTTCTCAAAAGATTTAGTTGCTACATTTGTTAAGGATGAAGATGGAAATACTGTTTCCTTCACTAAATTGGAATTTGAAAAGTGCTATTGGACTTCTGCAATTACTTCTATGTATCTCACACATGACGGTGATTCTGTGACTTGCCAAACATACTTAACTAGTAATGATTGTTCTGGATCTGTTACTGCTAGTGTTACTGCTGATCTTAAT